CTCTTGACGCAGGTCAGGATTTCCTTTGATCTCTTCAGATACTTTTTCTTTGTTTTCACAGTAAGCGCCACCCCACCACAAGTCTCTCTGTGTGTTTGTGGCTTAAGGAATATTTAATTTTCTCTGAAAACCAAGGAAGGGAAAAGGAATCCCTTAACCTCCCTAACTCTGATGTCATGGTGCATTGTGGAAAGAGAAAAGATTCGAAACCTGTGTTCAAGTCCCATTTGTGCTCCTTACTGCCTGAGAGACCTTGGGCAGGTTACTTAACCTCTATGGACATCAGTTCATTTATAAAATGAAGGGGTTAGACTAGATTTACTTCAAGGTCTCTTTCAACTTTAAATCTGTGACTTTCTGCTCTCTTCTAGGAGACAGACCTGCCTGCATCTTGAATATAGATAGAAGCTATTTGGCAGGAGCAGAAATATCAACATTGCACAGTCTATGCAAGTCACTTTAAAATCCTCCTTGCTCTCCGTACTTTCTGGAAGTAAATGTCTCAGTCTTTCTAGTTCTTGTTATTAACTCCCCTGGACAAATGCCATGGAATTCTGGATCTTAACTCTCCTCATTTCCTGGGTAGTTGAAAGTCACAATAAACTTCCTTTCCTTTCTCTTACTAAACTCTAACTCTATCTTACCAATTTGTTATCCTATCTTACTTTGTCTTATCATGCACATATATTAGACACATTCCTTTCTAGGGAATTAGAATTTCTGTGTAAACACCTGTCTTTTTAGCATGAGTGTTCCCCAGGAGTCTCTGGGGTCCTCTTCTCTTCCTGCATGCATTTTCTTGGCTATCTCGCTAGTCAGCTTGAATTCAAATATCATATCTATGCAGTTGACTTCCAAATCTGAACATTCAGCCTGAATTTCTCTCTTGAACTTTCTAGCCATACATCATCAACTATCTGTTGAATATCTTCTCTTCCTGTATTTCATAATTCAAGATATTCAAAGTAGAACTCATTATTTTACCCACTAAATCTCTAAATTTCCCTATTTCTATTGAGGGCATAACCATCCTTCTAGTTACTCAAGTTGGTAACTGTGGAGTTTTTCTTGACTTTCCCCTCTTCCTCACCCTTGATATCCAATCAGATTTGAAACTTTTAATTGCAGCCGTCCCCTTCTTTCCACCCACCCAGCCATGTCTTGGATTCAGGCTCTTAAACCTCTTATATAGACATCTGTAGGAGCTTCCTGATTTGTGTCTTCTGCTTCTAGTCTCTTCCTTTTCTAATCTGTCTTCTACACAGTCATCAAAGCCATTTTCTCAAGATACAAATCTGACTATGTTGCTCCTTTATTCAAGGATTATCAGTGACTTTCCCTTGCCTGTAACACTTAGGCAGGCACTGAGGGCCCTCTACAGTCTGGTTCCCTTCACTTTTCCATCCATATTTTATATAATTCTCTTTTTCATACTCTACATTCTAAATAAGGAGAGGTATTCATTCTTTTCCAAACTCAGTACTCTATCACTTACCTCCATGCTGTTTTGTAAGCCCTTCCTCATGCCTAGAATATACCCCTCCTCATTCCTGCCTTTCAGTATCTTTGTATTCTTTCAAGGCTCAACTCACATGTCATCGACCCTGATAATTGTCTGTCTCATTTTCTTCATTGTAGCACAGTAGAAGTCTTAGATTCAAGCTCCAGTGCTGCCACTTACTACCTGTGTGGCCTTGGGAAAGTCATTTAACCTTTCTAGGTCTCAGTTTCCTCAACTGTAAAATGAAGTGGTTGGACTAAAGTCTTTTACGACTCTAAACCTATGAAACTATGTAGGTGTGGTACCAATAGAATGTAAATTCCTTGTGGTCAGGGACTGTTATATTTTTGTCATTGTATCCCAGTGCTGACATTAATCAGAGGCTTAACAAATGCATTTAGAATTGTTTGTTGAAATTTTTCTCTAAAGTTAGAAGGAAGTGAATAATTTAAAAGAAAAAAGATTCTTCAGCACATTTATGTTCTAGTTGAATGGACACTAGCTTTTGTTGCTTTAGAAAGGAAAAGCATGGAACAAGTATTCTCTTATCATTGAATACCGGTAGCCCGTATTAAAGCAACTATTCACTATAGGCACTTAAAAATATTAGTTGATGGTTAAGGGGTCTCACTGCTTCAAAAAATTATGGAATATCTTTTGAGTCACTGGGAATCTTCAGTATGTGAAGTCATAATACTATAGATTTAGAGCACTTTGAAGCAATTGAGATCAAACACCTCATATTACAGATGAGGATATTGAGGCTCAGAGATGGTAAGTGACTTGCCCCGGGTCACACAGCTAGTAAGTATATGGTAGAATTAAAACTCAGGTCTTTCTGACTCCAAGCCCATTATTCTCTCCCATGTACCACCTAGCTAGCATTTTTGGAGAGTGGATGAAGTGGATGATTCAGACTTGTGATACAGTGTAAGGAGCTCCCAGTGTGGAAATTCTCTCCAATATTGCAGATTAACAATTTGCTTCAAATGCATGGTTCTAGAAAGTTGTTTGAATACTGAGAGGGTAAATAATGTCCACGGTTACACAACAAATATGTATTAGGTCTTGGACTTGGGTCTTGCAGACTCCAAAATTAGTACGGCATGTTGCCTCTATTATTTCCATTAGTAATAAGTAAAACAGAGAGAAATATGCTGTCTTCCAGGTACCACACAGAAAGTATGGCCATAAATAAGATCACAAGATACATTAAACTGAATGGATAGGTTGGAAGGTACTGCTAGACAGAACACAAAAGACAACTGACATACTAGGACTTCCTTTGTGCCAACATTTTGGGAATGTTTGTTCAATCAGATGCAAATTCATCTACCTGTAATTATGATCAAGCACCTATTTCTCTATTTTTGGAGAGCAAGTATATTTTCTCATTTTAAATGGATTATTTCCTACCTCCTGTCTTTTTTTAAATATCCTTTAATTTTCCACAATTACATGTAAAGACAATTTTTAGTGTTCATTTAAAAGAAAATTTGGAGTTTCAAATTTTTCTCCCTCCCTCCTTCCTCTACCTCCTCTCTAAAATGGCAAGCAATTTGATATTGGTTGTATATGTGCAATCATTAAAATATATTTCCATATTGGTCATGTTGTTTAAAGAAACAGACAAAAAAGAAAAAAACATGAAAAAAACTAAAGTGAAAATAGCATGCTTCAATCTGCATTCAGACTCCATCAGTTCTTTCTCTGGATGTGGATAGCATTTTCCGTTATGAGTCCTTTGGAATCGTCTTGGATCATTTTGTATTGCTGAGAAGAACTAAGTCATTCATAGTTGATCATCACACAACATTGCTGCTACAATGTACGATGTTCTTCTGGTTCTGCTCATTTCACTTTGCATCAGTTCGTGTAAGTCTTTCTAGGTTTTTCTGAAATCCTCCTGCTCATCAATTCTTAAAGCACAATAGTATTCCATTGCATTCATATATCACAACTTATTCAGCCATTCCCCAAGTAATGGGCATCCCCTCAATTTATAATTCTTTGTCACCATAAGAAGAGCTGCTATAAATAATTTTGTGTATGTAGGTCCTTTTCCCTTTTTTATGATCTCTTTGGGATATAGACCTAGTAGATCGAAGGATATGCATGGTTTGATTGCCCTTTAGACATAGTTCCAAATTATTCTCCAGAATGGTTGGATCAGTTCACAACTCTGCCAATAGTATATTAGTGTTCCAGTCTTCCCACATCCTCTCTAACATTTCTCATTTTCCTTTTCTGTCATATAAGCTAATCCGAAAGGTGTGAGGTGGTACCTCAGAGTTGTTTTAATTTGCATTTCTCTAATCAATAGTGTTTCCTTCCTTTCTAGGAATCATTTTATTCCTAGAATAAGAAAAGTACTCTTTAAGCCTTCTCACTTTATTCTTAAGCAAAGAAATTAGGTTGAATTTAATATACTTACTTGGATATGTTTTTTGGAAGGAAGGCAAACATACAACCTGATGCCTTTCTACCCTTTCAGCCTTTGCTCTCTCCTTTTCTTACTCTATTATCCAGAGACATTGGACTTTTTGCAATTCCTGGCACCAAGCACTACATCTCCCAACTCTGCACTTTCACTGGCTGTCCCCCAAGCCTGAAATACTCTCCTTCCTCATCCCTGCTTCCTGGATTCCCAGGCTTGCTTCAAATCTCAGCTAAAGTTCTACCTTCTGCAAGAAATTTTTCCTGGTCCCTTAAAGTGTTTTCCCTCTGAGATTATCTCCAATTTATTCTATATATAAATATGTATATATTTATGTCTATATATCATGTCTGCACATGGTTGTTTGCATGTTCTTTCTACCATTAGAATATGAGCTCCATGAGGGCAGGGACTCCTTTTTGTCTTTGTTTGTATCCTTAGTGCTTAGTCAAATGCTTGGTTTATAGTAAGTACTTAATAAAATTTTAATAAATATCAAGGGACACTTAGGTTATACAGTGTATAGAATACTGGGCCTGGAATCAGGAAGACTCATCTTCAAATCTAGCCTCAGGCATTTACTAGCTGTGTGACCTTGGGCAAGTCACTTAACCCTGTTTTCTAACAATGAGCTGGAGAAGGACATGGTAAATCACTCTAGTATCTTTGCCAAGAAAACCCCAAATGCGGTCATGAAAAGTCAGACATGACTAAAAAAGGTTTGAACAAAAATAAATTTTGCTTGTTGAGTTGACTTGATTTCATAATACAAAGCCTGAGATCATTGAAACGAGAGTAAATATAGTTATTTGTGGACCCTCCCTCCTAATTCTTTCTCCATTAACTTAGAATATTTTTCAAATAAAATATACTTAATTTCTTGTAATAACAGAACACTGAATTTTTCCCATCTCTTTCTTTCCAAGTTTTTGGAATGTTTTATATTTGATCTATAGTAAAAAACAATTCCTCTAAATGTCAGATTATATTATCAGCTGAAAGAGATTAGGTCTGTGATTATTCAAAATAAGTATATATCCAGCAAAAGGTATACCTACTTACCTGATGTTGAAATTTTCCTGCTAGTTCCTGGTAATGTGGGGACTTTGGATCATTCAGTTCTGCCTTAAATTTCTGATTTGCTAGGTTGACACTAAATTCTAACATCTCTTCCAATGGTCCCTCTGATATGATATTAGTTATTTCAGTTTCTACAGCCTAAGGAAAAAAAAAGGTAGATTTTGTTTAGCATAAACCAAAAGCAAATTCTTTGAGATGGTTCTAAATATTGAAGTGGTCAGGAAAAAATTGATTCTAGAACCTTCAGTGGACTTAGAGATGGAGTTCTATGGAATGAGAAATAGACTTTGTGGGGGGTAAATTTGGAATAAAATTTCTTATTTAAGTTACCTAGAATCTTTAGAGAGCAGTGTAATTTGTCTGGGATTGAAAGCTAGTGGAGAATAGATCTATTGTCTTTGTAGAATCCAGTATGGTCATGTGTACATTGGACTTTATCAATACTGTTTGATGATACTGAAATGATGATTACATTGGACCAATGTGCAAATGAATATGAGCTATTATGACCACCCAACCAACACCAGAGGGAAGCCTGGGCCAATATAATGAGGTTGTTCATGCATGAACGTAACATCAAAATTGTCCCTAAAGCACCTCCAAGTCAAAAGTTGGCTTAAAGGCACTCTCAGGGAGAATGGCATATTTGGGTCACAACTAGAAGCTTGGGCTGGAGTATCTAAAAATAGCAGCACTGCTCTAAGCAAGTAGGTCTGCCTTTTGCTTGCTCAAAGGCCCATTACCTGCCTTTCTTGCTGCCCTTTGGATCTGAAATTGGCATGGTTCTGTCATTGCTCTGCACTCCCATTAGCTTCCTAGGGCATAGATCAAGATAGAGGTTGGGTTTTAAGTATGTGGCACTGGAGATTGGTTTGCAGCCTTTGGTACATAGATGACTTTGAGATCAACATTGTGTTTCCCTGAAAACCTAAATATATATGCTTGAGGATTCTGTAAAGGTATTAGCTGAAGCAGTAACTATGATTTCATTGAATTTATGCCTCAATCTGGGAAGATCTAGAAAATCTTTTTTTAAAAAAAACCTGAAAAGTTGGTACATGAGGGTCAAACATGGAAGCAGTACTTTAATTTTTCCAGTGGAATAAATCAATCACAACACTATTTATTGTGTCTACTATGTGCTAGGCCCTGCGTATACAAATGCGAAAATAAAATAGGAAGCTAGGTCTTTATATACCCGGGCTAGGCCCTGGGTATACAAACACAAAAACTAAAAAAAGGAGGGTAGAGAACTATGGGAATTTCAACTCATTCTACACTCTGATGAAATGTAGCACTATCTAAGAGTACTGAGAGGCCTCCGGAAGCTCAAAGAAGGCATCTCTTAGATCTCAGGTGTATTGGTTATGTTTAAGGCATTGTGATAAGATTGGGGTGGGGTTTATCAGCCCAAGGTTGAATGATAGGGTGATATGATAGTGAAGTTGCTTCTTAATCATTCTCTATGGTTCTTTTCTTTTTAAACCAAGTACAATGAATTCAATTTTCTCTCAATCATGAGCAAAAAACATAATTTATAATTAGCAAATGGAAAAAAATCTTCCTATTTTAATTGAGGGAACAAATAGGCAGCACTAATAGTTTTGAATTGCCAATCCATTTTTTTTTCTCCAAAGCACAGAAAGCAGGCAAATGAACAGTCAGATAAGACATCAGGACATCCTCACCTTCACAGGAGTCTTTGTGTCATTGAAAAGTTTGTTGAGAAGTGAGCCATTAGGAATGGATGTGAAGGGAAGTGGAGAGAAGCTAGCAGCACCTGCTGAGACTTCAAAAAAATCATACACATGAACACACCAGAAGAGAGCTTAAATTAGAAGAAGGGCAAAAGTTCATGGAGTCTCCCTGTCACTCCAATACCCACTGATGGTAAATGCATTTTCAATCCATTAAAAAAAAATCAGTATATTGTTGAGTTAAAACGTGGTTCTAAGTTTTCCTTCGTTGAAATTCTCCTTTCCTTCTTCCCAGAACCCGAGTTTAATAGTCCTTGGGATATATATTGTAAGATAACTTCATTTAATGAGAGCAAATTAATTTCTGTTTTTGTGAATATTGAGTGGAAGCACATATTTAAAACAATATGAAATTGGCTGTTCAGAAACATTTCTTTGGATGCTGTCCATGGCTTTTGAATTTGATATGAGAAGTGTTTTTAGATGCTCTATCATTCAGTGAATCAAGGAGCTGGCAGGAGCCTTGGGCCCAACTAATGATCTCTACCCTAGAGCCTGCACCAATTTAAAACCATTCCAGATGCAGGGCAATCTTTCTTGTTTTTAAGGCCTTCCAAAGAGAAGATTCTGGACTCTGTTGCAGCCAAGGAAAATCATCATATTTAGGAAAACAAATATGTTCTGTTTTATTGTGTGAAATTATACAATAAAACCTTGCGAATCTGAAAAGCCTTGAGAGTAGAGCATTTCAGTCAATTGAATTTTCTAGTTAAAATTTAGTTAACCAGAAAATCATTTGGCTTTCAAACCTTATTGTTGAAAATGCCTAGGTGTAGTAAGCAGAATATACAGAATATTACTGAATCTGTCCTTCATGACTGAGGATCTGGTAGCCCCTGAGGGAACCTTATTCTGCAGACTAATAATCATGGAACTGTACCATATGTGGAACTATAGAAGCCTGGGCTGAGTGAGGATTGACCTAAGTTTACAAACAATACAACCACTAACTCTAGACAACTAAAGTAAGTGATTTTTCTTTCTTTCTGGTATATCCAGTTTCCTTCTTCTCTTCCTCCTTCTTTTTCTTCTTTTGTTTACAAGGCTCTGTTCCCCCTTCATTCCTATATCAGATGCCTTGTTTCTCTGGGTCCCCATCAACACTATCCAAACTTGCTTTAGGAAAGAATATGATGAACTCATTCACATTAGGGTGTAAATGATTGAGGGGTTATTGCCTATGACCATAGAATGAGTTAGTATGTCAGAGGCCGGACTGGAACTCAGGTCTTTCTGACTCTAAGGTTAGACCTGCTAGGCTATGTATTCATTTACATCTATACACACACATACATGTACATATATCCATACTCGCACTTTATCTATACCTGCATCTATACATATACATATACACACATATATATTCACAAGCATATGCATATGCATATACATATATCCATACCTACAACCATACCCATACGTATACATATCTTTACCTTCTATCCTATTTTTCTATTTTCATTTGACAAAGAGACAAAGCCTTAATATAAAAAAATGAATTTTGGTGCCAGTGAAATCAGAGGCTTCTTACTCTTTCTTATGCTTAGGTAGCTCTCTAAGACTATATGTTACATAACTTATGGAAGAGTTGCTGATCTACATCAGAGGAAGGAGTTCCTGTACCCTAATTCCCTAAACCAGTGAAATCACAAGATCTGATCCCTTTCACCAAATTTTTATAAGCACATGTGTAATGTAAACATGCATATACATATGTGCACAAGATGTATTCATGTTTAGTGATAGTTCTCAAAATTTGATCTCCATATGCCAGTTTTTCAGAATCCTCTCCATCCCTGGTATTCATGGACAACCAAGGGTGAGTCTTACAATAGAAGCTGAACTTCATTCTTGTTAGTCCAGGACCACTAGAGAAATAGGCTGAAAGTCTGGTAAATGGTCAACTCAAAATATCCATATCTATATACACAGATGTGCAAATATGCAGTGGGAACTCCCTCCAGTGATGCCTATCAGAAACTTCTCTGTAACTTAACAGTCTTAGAGAGCTGCCTGGAGGCTTTGAAGAATTAATTGACTTGTTCATGCCACAGTGGTGGTATTATGTTAGGGGCAGGTCTGGAACTCAGGTCTTATTGATTCTGAGGTTAAACCTCTTAGGCCATGTATATATACATATATGGATACAGATACATGTATACATATAAACACATGTAATGAATATGTACATTGGGGAGAAAAGAAGATTGAATGAACTTATAAATGAACTTAAACTTAGTGGGAAAGAGTTTATTTTTAAAAAAATGTGTGACAAAAATGCCACTAAAATTCAAATTACTGACTTTAACTTTTCTAGGTAGGAATCTCAATTACATTCCAATGATTACTTTTAATTTTAACAAAATTAAAAAAAGAAATTCATTATAGATCATCTTCATATAGCTTTTTTCTCTTCTAATACTATTCCTCTGAAGGAAATGTGATATTAGAGGTCAATGTTCTTTGGACTATTAATACTGTTAATAATTAGGTGGTTATTTGCTTCTAAGACTACTGGGGGAAAATCTTAAGGAATGTATTCCACAAAATGAGATCTTCATAATTGACATTGAGCCAGTATAGTACCTACGTTAGTTACTGGTCAAAATGGTAAACTGGTTGAAAAGATAAGCTTACGGTTCATGCTTTAAAGACTTAAAAAATGGAAAGGTTCTAAGGCACAGTTTTTTATGGACCTCTATTCATATGTAGAACCTGAAACATGATCTTGTCAACGTTTTAACATATACAAACATAAATATTCAATTTCTGACTTGTAAGCTTCTAAAAAGTGATTTTTCTTATTTGTGGATTTCTACAAACTTTGTTTGTTGTTTCAAAAATGCCACATTTTATAATGATTTGGTTGTAATGTATAAAATTATAAATGTAATGTTTTAAGAATGAAATCTAACTTTACCTGTAGGAAGCACAGGGATTTCATCAGACTTTTTACTTTCTATTGCCTTCTCTGCAAGAATTTCCTCTTTTCTAGAAGCAGAAGAGAAATGAAAGACATAACAATTAATAGGCACTGGATGGCAGAGTGGGAATAGATTGAAAATCTGCTTCTAAGTTAAATTGTTTTTTAAATTCTAAACCATCCATTTTTAAGAAGAATATTTTGATTCAAACTCTAGAGAGCAGCACAGCTATGGTTGACCTTCAGCAAAATTTTAAAGTCAGAAAAGTTGGTCTTTGATGCACCTGTTTTTGGGTTGTAATTTTCCAACTTGGTATACATTGATATAATGGGAGACATTTTGTGTTTTACTTATTGTATTTTTATTCCAAGCACCTAACTTAGTGCCTGGCATGTAATAGGTATTTAGTAAGTCCTTGTAAATTGATTGATTTCCAGGTAACATATTTTAAGGAACCACGATTGCATCATTCTAAGTACTCCTGCTATATGACATTTATCCCAAACTTCCCATGTGTAATACGGTTACTTTAGCTAGCTTGGTGTTGCTGTTTGTCCTTCATTCTTGAAGAGGACCATGACATCAGGGAGATGATGCCATGACATGCAAGTGAATTGGATTTAACTGAGGGAGGGCTGTGAAAAGTCACCAGTTTCCCTTTCTCCTCTGGAGCCATATGGCTTAGCTAGCTTATTTTAAATCTAAGGGCAATATAAGAGCCCCTCACTTCCCTGTGGTTCTTTCCTCTGCTGCATTAGGGAATTTATATTAAATGAATAATTAGGAATACCATCACAATTTCTCTGAGCCCTGAGTTAGAAAAATCCCTAATACTTAGGCATATTTGATTTTTTACCTTTGTTTATATCTAGTTAACCCCTGACTTCTTTGTTTTTGAGGCAAAATTCAGTTTACCAGAAAGGTTTGGGTAAAGAAGTATCAGAGTTGATAGGCATGAGGAAGGAAATCTGGGGAAAGAACAGACCTTTTTTTTCCTTAGAATGTCTTTCAGTCCTTGACAAGGTGGGTATAAATGATGATATCAAACTGAGTTTTCTGATGTAAGATGCCAACAGTGCCAAAGGCTGTCCTCAGTCACTCCCTTCTCTGTTACAGCTGAGTCCTAATTTCCCTTTTTTACTTTTCTGGTTGCTTCTGTACTGCTGATTCTTACTAGGTCAGCTCCTGATGTCTCAACTCCTTCTCTAGTCCCATACCTGAAACATCTCTCCTCTGTTTTGAACTAGCTCCTCCTTTTATGCATTTCTTCAGGATGTGACCAAATCCTTCACCTAATTAGAACAGACTTCCTGTTGCACTTAATTAAAATAAACTTAATTAAAAATTTGATTAATTCAAGGAGATGTCAAGGTCTTGTTCATTGTTGTTCAGTCATTTGACTCCATTTGGGGTTTTCTTGGCAAAGATGCTGGAGTGGTTTGCCACTTCCTTCTCCAGCTCATTTTTTACAGCTGAGGAAACTGAGGCAAATAGTGTTAAGTGACTTGCTCAGAGTCACATAGCTACTAAGTGTCTGAGGTCATATTTGAACAGAGGAAGATGAGTCTTCCTGACTTCAGGCAGGACACTCTATCCACTGCACTATCTGTCTTGTTCATACCTAGTGAATAATCAACATGTGTCCTCATCTGATCAATGTATCAGGACTTAGCTTCTAGACATTTTAAATGGGGTGGGGTGATTTGATTGATTTACCTAATGCATCCTTGCCCTTACACATGCCTTAGCAGATGGTTTTCGTGAGCTGATGTAGCCAAAATAATTCTTCAGCAGACATCTGCGTAAAATGTTCCGGTTTGTTAATACCTGCAAAAGTTTTTGCTCTGCTGACTGAGTTTTTAGAACCTCTTTTATCTTGAATGGCGCAACGAGACACTGGATTAGGACTTTTGTGATTGTCTGGTGAAGTCTGTTTATGTTAGCATTGACCATCTGCTGACAGCACCTTTGCCTTTGTTGTTTAGAGTAACTAAAACATAGTTATTCTAACGATAGGAATTTTTAACCATCTATGAAGGTAGAATGGCAAGATGATGGAACAGCGATAGATATTTTGGGAGCAGGTAGAGAACATCACTTACATCATTCTGTGTAGGGCCATATAGGAACATTACTGAAGAGGGCTGTCCATGATTTTAAATGGACCTTATTTGGATTGTATTTGCAAGAGTTTTCTCTTTTGAACCTTGTTTCCATGTTTTAGATGGTAACTTCTCAGTGGGTCAGAACCATGACTTTCAGGGTGCAGCAGAACTGCACAGGACCAAAAGCTTTGTCTCAAAGACAAATTGTGGCTTGTGAAGACAGCCATGACAAGGTCATAAAGAACTCCTGGGTTCCTCCTTGTTTTTAAACAAGGTTAACTAGATGCAGAAAGTTTCATTCAGTGTTTCTATTATGTCCTGCTTGTATGGAACTAGCATATTCATATTTGACTAATTTCTACAATACTAGGCCAATGTGGGTACTTAATAGGTAGTTTTTCATGGTGATCATTTTTCATAAAATATAGGAAATGTGAGACTGAGTGGTTTAGAAACTTTCTTTTTCCACTTGAAGAGCTGCCTCTTTATAAAGTGTACCCAGCTATACAGTGAGCCCGTTGATTTGATAGAACAAAGATGAAAATCAAGACCAAAAGTAATATGAGAGTATATTATATATATATAAAATAACATGCTGTTAAAACAGCTCCATTCAGACCTATTTAAATAAGCATAAAATGCTAAAAAAACCAGAAGATGACAGAGGAATAAATGATGACACAGAATACAACCATTTATCTAGGAAGAGTAACCAATATAAATCAATCACCACAATGAGGATGCCAAAGGAAACCAGAAAAGGTCTCAGGCAACAAACACTAGATTCCCTAAACAGAGAGAGGAAAATCAAAGGCAGCACTGGTTTAGAGTACAAACTAATTTGCAAAATTTTGTAGATAAGGATAGTGGAAGGTTATAAACAATATTCTGTTATAAAATAAAAACAAGAAACCTAATTAAGCCAGATAATCCCAATGTCATTTAAAGATGAAACTGAAAGGAGGACAACAGAAAAAAATCAGAAAATATCTTTCTATATTAAATTTTTTCTTGTAGCAATGAGAGTGGAGCTCTTGTATTTAGCTTTCAGTACCACAGTTCCTGTATGTGATACACGAGAAAGTAAGCATTATACTAAAATGAACAATGATGGGAAGAACAAGGATCAGACAAAATATATAGAGGGGAGTGTCATGCTGGATGTGATAAAATTTTGAGGGTCTTAAAGAATTGATTCTGAAGATATCAGAAAAAGCCTGGACTGCTTTCCCTCCTCATCTCTGGCTGCTGGTTTCCATGACTTCCTTCAGGTCCCAGCTAATAATCTCACTTTCTTTGAAAAGTCTTTCCTGATCTTCATAAATTACAATGCCTTCCCTTTGCTGATAATCTTCATTTTATCTTGTTATGTATCTAGTTTGTAGAGAGTTTGCGTATTCTTTCCCCCATTACACTGTGAGCAGGGACTTTTTTTTGCCTTTTTAAAACATCTCCAGAACTTAACATAGTGCCTAGAACATAGTATTAGCTTAATAAATGTTTGTTGACTTGACAAGGTAACAAATGCTTAGAAAAGAATCATGGAACATTAACAAAGCAAGATAATGAAGAAAATAGCAATAACTGCTTACTCCAGTGTTTAACATAGAGCCTGGTATATAATAGGCATGTAATAAGTGCTTGTTGACTGATATACCTACTTTTCCTCTTTTAAAAAATATCCATGAGAATAATCTGCTATATTCATATTGGAATCCTTGATGAAATAGCTTTCACAATTGATTTTTTTTTTAACAGTGGAATACATCTTTGAAATCACATAATTAACTGAAAGATGCTGAGAAGACAAGACTCTACTGTGCTTACTGTTTGTTGGCTATAAGAAAGCATTCAATTTAGTAAAACAAAATGATACATTCATCCAATAAAGTACGCATATGACAAATATTGATTACTTTGTTCTAGATTATTTGATCATCAATATCAAGTGAAGTATAAAGCCAGGAGATTGTTCACCAGAGGCGATTGATACTGTGTTGTAAGAGGTCCAAGTGAGTTCAAATGGAAGAAGGATGGTGAGGCCCTTGAGATGCTCATGAAACCTCAGAATATCTGAGTTTGGAAGGACCTCAGAATCCAACAACCCCAATCCATAACCAAAAGAGAATTCTCACTACAATAAATAGTCATCCAGTCTTTGCTTGAATACTTCCATTGAAAGGAAACCCACTGTCTAGGCAGCCCATTCCACTTTTTCAATTTTCAATTTCAAATTCAAAATTGTGATGAAGTTTTTCCTGACATAGAATCTAAAATTTTCCTCTTTACAAGTTTAATTCCTTACTTTTAGTTCTTACTCTGGGGGTCAATCAGAACAAATATAATCATTCTTCCACACGACAAAACTTTAAGTACTTTAGGAGAACTCCTGTTTGTTCCCTCATTCTTCTATTTTTTATTAAACATCTCTAGTTCCTTTGCCTCATTCATATACAGCATAGACTTGGGACACTTCAATATTTTTGTTCTCTTCCTTTGGATTAGCCCTTCTATATGTGGTCCATAGACTCCTGGAGGTTCTGAGGCTCTTCAGGGTATCGGTGAAGTTAAAATTATTTTCATAATAATACTAAAAAATTATTTACCTATTCAAGTTCTCCATTTTCCAACTCTATATCTGTGTAAGGATGAGTTTTCTTCATATACATCAACCAAAATAACATATTGTGAGTGATTGAATGAAGAAGCTGACAAAATAATCCATCTATCTTCTATTAAGTCAGACATTTAGGAAGAGATGTGAAAAATATTGCTCTTCTTCTCACTAGTTTCTTTTGGGAAATATCATTACTTTTAATAAAAATATTTTTGAGTTAATGTGATAGGTTTTTGTTATTTTAAATGAATTAAAGATTTTAAAAACTTATTTTAAATTTCTAATGCAATAAATATTGATAGATATAACCCATATAAACAAAAGATCTTTGGGGTCCTCAATAATTTTTAAGGGTGGAAAAGAGTCCTCAGCAAAATCCCCAAAATCTAGGATTTATAATAGAGATCTTTTTTTGCCTTCTATATCACCCTGTTGACTCACACTGAAGGTAAAGTCCACTAATCCTCCCCCCTCCAGAACTTTTTCATGTAAGCAGCAGCCTTATCTTACTTATCCCCCTTATCTTACTTTTCTTTTTGGATCCCAGCATAAATCTTTACATTTATCTCTGTTAAATTTCATCCCAGTGTTCTAATCCATAAAGGACTTTTTGAATCTTGATTCCATCAAATACTGTGTTAACTATCTTTTGCTTGTATTATCTTGAAATTTGATAAGCATGCTATGTATGCATTTATACACATCATTAAAATCCAAGGTCAAGCACAGATCTCTAGGGTACTCTACTAGAGACTTTCTCCCAAGTCAATGTCAAATTATGATAGACTAATTTTTGAGTCTGTCTTCTCATCCAACTTTGAATCTGTTTAATTGCACTTATTTTTTTTAGCCCATATCCCTCTGTCTTTTCCACAAGAACACCATGATATACTTTATCAAACATTTTTGCCAAAATTTAAATAAACTCTAGCTATAGCATCCTTCTAACTAGTGAGCTTATAAAAAAAAGAAAAAAATGGAAATTAATGTTAAGTGTCATGACTTGTTTTTGATGAGGTCATACTAGCTCTTTTTGATTACTACCTCCCTTTCTAGATATTCACTAATTTTCTATTTAATAATCTGGATTGACATGTGGTATTGATTCATCAGTAAATATATCTCAAGAAGACACTCCAGACAGATAATGAAGTAGGTTCAGAATTGAGTTGGTTAAAGAAAGTTATCTGGGTTGCATTTGGGAAATTGGATAGTGATATTAATAACATAGAACTTCTCCTTGAAACTGTGAAATTGAAAATTAATATCCCACTTTATTTTGCATTATTTATTAATTATTGATTGAGAATTGTATCTATTTATATGACCTTGGCCAAGTCACTTAACCCTGTTTGCCTCAGTTTTCTCATCTATAAAATAAATTGGATAAGGAAATGGCAAACTACTCCAGCATCTTTGCCAAGAAAATCACAAATAGGGTCATGAACAATTGAACACGGCTAAAAGGACTAAACAACAATAAAATCTTATAAACATATAAATAGCTCAGTTTTATACCATTTTAACATATTTCTCAGAAGATGGTATGGTATAATTGAAAAAAAAATAGCCCACTGAATTTGGAGTCTGAGGACTTGAATTTGAATCTCACCCCTACCACTTACTCTTTTATTACTGTATCACTTTGGATGAATCACTTAATCTCTTTGATTCTCAGGGTTCTCATTTGTAAAATGAAGGGGTTGGAATAGATGAGTCCTAAGATCCCTCCCAGCTCAAAATCTATAATCCTGAGTCAAGGGCACCCATATGAAGGTCACTGTGTCATAATGGAGAGAATGTTTTACTTGTAGATTGTAGAAAGCTAGCATGGCAGAATGGATAGGGCCCTGAGTTTAGAGTCAGGGAGACCTCCCATCAAACCCTACTTCAAAACTTTGTTAGTTGTGTGACCCTAGGCAAATCAGTCTTTTTGGACCTCAATTCATTCTTCTGTAAAATAAGGGAAGTAGATTTGATGACCTCTAAGATGCCTTCCAGCTCTAAATCTATGATTCTAAAATCACTTGACCTGGGTTTGAATCCTGGTTCATACTTATTTTGCCTCTCTGGGCATCACTTTTTCTCATTTATAAAATGAGGGCATTAGGTTAAGTGATCCAGGGTTCTTAATCTGAAGTCCATAGATTTCCAGGGGTCTATGAACTTTGATGGGAAAAAATTAGACTTTTATTTTTACTAAACCTCTAAGTGAAACTTAATTTTTCCTTTAGTTATTTAAGAGCATTGCCTCAAGAAGGGCCACAAACTTCATTAGATAACCAAAGCGGTACATGACACAAATACGGTTAAGCATCCCTGGCCATGATGATCTCCAGGGTCCTTTCTAGCTGTAAACTCTATGATACTATATAAGTGAGTTATCATTTGGGCTACTCACCTCTCAGGGAAACGATGCTTTAATCGCTGAAAAAAAAAGATAAAAGAAGTCAATTAACTAGGAGATAAGGCCAATTCAACAGCAGAAGTCCTTTTTGTCTCTGTGGCCCACTTTGCTACTACTCTCCAGGGCCCCACCTCCAAGCCTTCATTCTGCTCAGAACAAAGAGCTGTGTTGTTTCTCACCAAGCCTGTCCTGTTCTTGTTGTTTAGCCAAGTAAGGTGTCTTAAAAGAGGTAAGAAAAGGGGAGGATCTGGGAAGCAATTCTTTTCAGGCATGCTTGAAAAAGAGAGGGCTATTTCTCTTCTCACCTGCTGGAGAAGTTCCTGGAGCTCCTGAGAATTGATAAAGGTTTCTCCAATGTCAAAAATGCAGTAAGTCTCCCTCTGGCAGGCACTGACCCAATTCTGGTACTCGCTCGTGTCAGGGATACGGTCCAGGAAGATTCGATAGGCTTCCCACACAGCTTCCTGACAGACTATAAAGGAGGGCGGTTAATTATGGAAACGGCCCAGGATGAGGGAAAATTCTCCTTCCAAATTAATCCCCAACACCCACCCACACCAAAGTTTCATAAAATAGGATAATGTTATAGATTAGAACTGGAAAGGGCTTTAGAAGTCATACAGTCCTTCTCGTGACCCAGAGTGTAAGAAGTGCTGAAGGGGTTGAGAATGGAAAAAGTCTAAGAAGCCCTGAAGTCCAACCTTTTCTTTTTACAGATGAAGAAACTGATGCTCAGAGAAGTTAAATGATTTCTCTAAGGTTATAGAGTAGACAAATGGCAGAGTCAGGTCCTTTTACTCCAAAACTAATGTTCTTTCCATTGTATCACATATTGCTTACATAATATTCTTTTGTTCTCAGGAGTGTGTTGATCCCTAAAATTTTCTCTGTTTGTTGATATTTACTTTCTAGGCATTGTGGTACAGAGGAAAAAAACACTGGCTTTAGGTTTAGGGGGGCCTAGGTTTAAATCACAACTCTGATAACTACTTGTATGACTTTGGACAAATCACTTAACTGACCTGGTTTCAGTTTCCTCAACTGTAAAATGAAAGGTTTGGATTGGGTCAGAAATGTCAAATTCTGCTAGGAACAAGGGCCATTAATCCATGCATAAGGATCCCACAGGCTGCCTATACTTAAAAAACCACATATTAACTGTCTATATTCTATTGTGTTTCTATTTATTTTGTTAAATATTTCACAATTACATTTTTATATGGTTTGGTGTCACTCAAGAGTCTTGTGTTGGATATCTCTGTATTAGATGACTTCAGAGGTTGCTTCTACCTATTGATCTATTGTTCTGCGAATTTGCATTGTCTTAGAGGAAGCACCCCTCTCAAAGAATCAGGCAGAAAATACCCAAGCCAGTAACCAGGCCCTGATCAAGGTAGGAAAGTAGGTGATTGTTGTCTTTGTTGCCTGCACTTCCTTTTTTCTTCCTTAGTGACACTCTTCCTTCAATCCTAGTAGCTCAGGACCCTTATGCCAGGGCCATAACCATACCTGGGCATTTTGAGATGCCTCAGCTCCAGGTGGAGACCCTCCCCAAAGTTCTTTATATTTTATGTGCCCCACAGCTATTCCTGGGGTCTTTTGTTGTTATCATTTTTAAGTCATGTCTGATTCTTTGTGACCCCTTTGGGGGTTTTTTTGGCAAAGATTTTGGAGTGGTTTGCCATTTCCTTCTCCAGCTCATTTTACAGATGAAGAAACTGAGGCAAATAGGGTTAAATGACTTGCCCAGTGTCTGAGGCCAGATTTGAAATCAGGTCTTCCTGACTCTGGATCAGTGTTCTATCCACTGGGTGGATAGCTGCCCCATATTCCTGGGATCTAGTTATTACAAAATTCCTGCATTTGGTACTGCTTCTTGTTTTAACAAAAGATCTAAAGCACATGCACAGAAAAATATCACTGTGTGATGTTGGGCAAGTCACATAACCTTTCTGGGCCTCATTTGTAAAATGAGGGAGTTGGCTAGACAATCTTTATATTCTCTTACATGAAACAATCATTCTATTAACTGGACACAGTTTCTTATGTTGCTGTGGGGTTTCTTTCTTAATAGCCTCAGGCTAAAGGAATGAAGTTGCTATGCTGGAATTCATGTTTTGTTGGGTATATTGGGGAAGCTTTTGGGGGTGTGGTGGTAAAGGAGGAAGCGGCATTTGAAGCAACCCTGAATTCACACTATGTAGCTTACTTTGTTGATTCTTAAGGATAGCCCTGGTAAAAAGCATACATGTTATCAGGAGCAGAATACAGATGTCTTATTACCATATTCATTTTGCTCATATACCTGCTCCCTACTATGGCTGCTTCTTTATGAGATGGCCTTCTATCAAGAGAACTCTAGACACTCTGAGTTCCTAAAACCAAAAGCTCTTTCCAATATTTTAAGTATTTTAACCAAGACCACCTACTTTTACCTACTGGGCATGGTTTCAATAGACTAGTGATGTCCCATCCCTCTAAGTTATCTTTCCTTCAAAGAAGCATAAAGTTAGAGATTTAAGGGATCTTCAAAACTTATCACGTCCAATGCCCTTCATTTTTACAGATGAAGAAACTGAGGCCAAAGAATTTAAGTGAATTGTCTAAGTTAAGTGAAAGGTCATATAGCTAGTTAGTGGCAGAGGCAGTAATGAAGCCTTGGTTTCTAACTTCAAATCCAAGAGGGAAGGTCTGGAAAAGTCATTGCGGTGGATAGGATAGTGAGTCAATATATATGGGCAATGGTGGTCATGGAAGGGAGGTGAGGAATTACAGGGATGGTTTATGGAGCCATAGGGCAGTTGATTGATGCACACTTTACAGTAGCTATGGTAATGTTTCATTGATTATTGTTCTTAGAGTGAGAGATGGTCAGTGGGGAATTGAAGGGGCACAGGAGTATCATCCAATGTCAAGATGCTTAGGTTCTGATGGGTGGCTAGTTGGCTGTATGGCTGAATGGGATATGAAACCTAGTCTGAGGATTGCTCAGAGGGTTTGGTGAGTTTGCAAACTCTCACCCACTTACAACTCAGGAGCAGGGTGGAATCACAAAGCTGAGTGGATTAACTTTCCGTGAGAGGAGAACCATGGGCGTTGTAGGTAGATGTGTTGAGTTTATCCTTTAAAGAAGATTAGTGGAAAAAGATAAATATCACATGAAATGAGCTGTATACTGCAGACTGCTCAGGTGGAGGGCATGCTCACATGGATGAAATTACAGATTTAACAAAGAGAAAAAAAGTGAGTGAGGTAGCAGAAAGGAGAAGATAGAGCTCAGATGCACTAGCTATCTGGGAGGGGAGAGGGCATCACAGAAGGGAAAAAAGGTACAGAATGGGAAGGTGTCAAAAACGAGCTTTGTCTTCTTTGCAATTTTGCCTACTGCTAGCTCTAAACCTGGCTCTAGAAATAATATTTAGACATTACAATGTGTATTAGAAAATGTTAGAAAGTAATGTATACTATGTTTATTCACTAGGTAACTAAAAGTCATCTTCATGTCCCCTTCAATTTTGAAGGCTGTTAATGTGTTTTCCTCAAGCCCAAACAATGCAAACTCAGACTCAGTTGCATGATACTTGACATGATTCTTAAACTTGCACAAATCATAGTGTGAGGAGAACTGAGAACAATCACTGAATGACTGTCAAAGAAACAGACCTTTGCAATTGGAGTATTTCTTGGTGAGCGAATTTGTTAAGATGCAAAGAAACTCCATACTGACTATCAAATCTTATTCCATCCTGGGGCAGCCATAATAGGTTATCATTGCTGTGGAAAATATTTCCACTGTGATTTGTTTTACCCAGGGAAACCAGAGAGTGAAAGATGTGAACTTAATCAAGGGTAAGATGAGAATGAAAACTTTATGTAGCAGAAATTCAGCAGCTGAAAGTAATGGCTTTCCCCTTAAGCACCTAACAAGGGCTGCTTCAGTTTGCCATTGTGCCTATCATAAATAAGACCATAGCACCTGAAAACAGTGATTGATGGTTTTATGTTTATTTATACAGATGTGGGTACATACAACATTCACTTCCTGTGTAACCTTGGGTAAGTCACAATCTTTCTGGCCCTCAGTTTCCTCTGTTGAAAGAAGAGTTGGACCAGATGACCTATGAGGTCATGTTCAACTCTAAAACTATGATCCCATGAGCTTATAAAACTTTATGTCTTTATAAAAATAACGTGGAATTGACTGAGTGTCATTACCCAGGCTAGCTAGAATGTCCAAACCTAGTTAATTCCAGTTCAGCTGAACTTTAGTAAGATAGGCAGTGTGCCATAGAAGACTGTGCCAAGCTTGGAGTTAAGAATGCCTGGGTTCAAATCCTACCTCAAATACATACTGGCTGTAGGCCACAGGTACCTCTTTAGATCTAAAGGTTACAGAAGAATTGCTGATCTGTAATAGTTGAAGGAGTTTCTATGCCAGAAGTTCGCTGCACTGATAGAGTCATAATTCTGGACCAAAAGAAATCAATAAACATTTATTAAGTACCTATTTTGTGCAAGGTACTATGCAAGGCTCTGGGATACAAAGGTGAAAAATGACCTGGATTCTGCCTTGAAGGAGCACATAATTTAGTAGAAGGGATGACAGGTAGATTATTATCATTGAGCATTAGAATTTAAGTTCCCAGAGGGCAAGGACTAGTTTTTTCCTTTTTTTCTCTTTCTTTGGTATTTGCCTTCCCAGCATTTAGCACAATGTCTTGTTCATAGCAGGTGATTAATAAATGATTTTTAAATGTTACAAGATGTATAAGGGCATAGAAGGTTCACAATAGAGTGTCTTGAATGATTCAGATGTACATATGTGGAAATTCCCTTGAATTATTATTAGCTACAAGTATATTTGTGAAAACAAGGGGTCCAGAGTTCATGGCCCTAGCTAGTATCACTCACTTAATTCTCAATTGCCAGGGCCCTTCTAAATTGGGTCCAGAAACTTGGTATTTGTAAGTGCTTAGAGCTGGAATTTTTTCCCTTTAGGAGAGTAAACATATGAAATATTCATCTCTCAATGAATGAAACATGTGAGTGCTGCAAGGTTTTCAATTTTTTTATGTGACTTTGCTAATTAATTGTGTCTCTAAAACCCAACACGAATCCCCTAAATTAATTTACTTCTTGATAGTACCATAGAATCAGATGCTCTGAAACATGGCAAGGGGCAAGCACTCTGAAATTGCTCTGCCTTGGTTTACAACTGCATCTCAATCAACATCCTCTACCATATGCTGATGTGCCTACAACAGATGTTTCAAGATCATGGGCTTGAAATAAAACAGGATGACAGTGTCCATTTTATGATGGGAGTAAATGTCTGAGGATGAAATTGGAGAGCCATTTTACCTTCAACTTGAAAGATGATACAGGTTTGGAGCCCAGGCAAAATGAGACACCTTTGCCTTATTGGAAATCACCCAAGGCACTCACAGCAGTGTGATTTAATTTCCTAATTATTTCTTGGTGCATTATACGACATTGGTCCTTGTCGTACACCTCCTGCAGGCAATAATTGTCCTATAACTCCCCTGGAAACAATGGTAATTGTCTAGTAAATTCTGTTAACACCTCTACATCATTACTTGCTCACCACTCTTAATTTGGGACACCTCTGTGCTCACAGATGTTCCTCTAGGTCTCCAAAATTCGGTGATTTTTGCTGGATCTGCTACATGTATATTCCACCAAACAGTATTAGGAGTTAGGTAAATACTTGTATGGTAATGTTGCTTTTTTTTTTTTTTTTTTTTGGAAACTGACAGTTCTAGCTATAAATCAGCTTGCTTAGTCCCTCAGTCCTGCAAACATCTTTTGCTTCTTATTTTATGAGGACAATATGAAAAATCCTACTTTTCGCTTAAATAATAATAAAATTAAAAGGAATCTACAAATGGCAGGCAATTTTTGTTGTTTATTAAATGACCTAATGGTTTTTTGCTGCATAAGCTGTTATTTTAAAATAAATAAACAGAAAACAGCCCTTTCTATGTTCATAATTATTTTATTTCAAGTTTAATTGATGTGTTTTGATTTTATATTTGCAGATTATTTCCACTTTGTAAGAGAACTCTTGTGATAGAGTAAAACAGTTAAGTAAATTTAGTTTTTATTATTATAATTAATAATAATGATGATAATTAGCATTTATATGGTACTTTAAGGTTTGCAAAGTGATTTATAACTATTACCTCATTTTGTCCTCACAACAACCCTGGAAGTCAAATGATACTATTATTCCCATTTTACAAATGAGGAAACTGATGCACAGAGCAGTTAAGTAATTTGCCCAGGGTTACACAGCTGGTAAATGTCTGAGGCAATATTTGAACTAAGGTCTCCCCAATTCCCAGACCAACTCTCTATCTACTACATGACCTAACTGCCATTAAAAAAAGGTTGCTATGAAGTTTGATCTGGTTTTTGAATTGAATAATAGTACCTGGTTTTACTTACTGCTCAGGTGGCTAGATGCTTTGTAAAGATCAAAGAATAAAGGATGTAGAGTAAAGAATACAATTCCAAAGCCTTAAACTAAGATTAAAGATGGCTGACACTCACAGTTGAGTTTAATGGAAGAGAATGGAAAGCCAGTAGAGACTTTGCATGGATCATTTGTGTTCTCACCTCTTAGTCTGTAATAAGCCTGGAGACTGGCCAAAATTTGTTTCATTGACTCTTGTGGACAGATTTTAATCCCTGTTGGAAAAGATATAGATCTTTTGGACCGGTGCTTTGCCAAATCAAATATCCTCCTGATGGTTGACACTCTGGATACCTTTGTTGTTCTTTCTGTGTTGTCAAAACTGGAAGTACCTTCCTTGTACTTGGATTTGGCATGGTTTTCCTTAATGAGAGGTTCTGAAAGAGCAGAAAATAGATATCTGGATGAGTAGGAAATTGTATATAACACAGGTACATCATCTAGACATCTTTGCTATTTACAAGCTGTAGAACCTTGGGTAAGTCACTTTGTCTCTTAAGTAATATGGCCATAATGATCTTTTTCCTAAATCATAGGCCTGATGGGAGGGTTAAATCAAGTAATACATATGAAAGTACTTTCTAAACTGAAAAATGCTATTTTGGGGGTAGTGGGGTAAGTCCATCTCTGTGATTTTGTCGGTGTTGGGATTTCTGATACAAAGCACTATCTGACACTTTGCTTTGCAAATATTATGTGTTTTTAAAATAAATTGAATTGCATAGAAATGAATCAGATTGAATGTGTTCCAAGATTTGCCAGCACCTAAATATAGTTATTTTGAAGAGATTGACTTTAATATTTCTTATGATTATAGATTTAGAAATGGAAGGGACCTCAGAGGACAACTTGTTCAACAAGTGAGGCTCAGAGAGACTAAATTACTTGTCTAAGGTCACACAGGTAGTACATGTAAGGGAAGCTGATACATTTGGTGAGCTCCTTGATCAATTTCAGGAGATCACTGTGTGGAAGCTTCCTCTAACTCTATCCATGTAATTGTTGAAAGTTACTTAGGGTGCTGAGAGGTTAAGTGACTTGTCTCCTTGCTATTATATGTCACAAGCAGGTCTTGAACCTCGAATTTCTTGTTGACCATCTATCTACTGCACCATGCTGCCTTGTAAAGTGCCATGTAAATGTTAAGTAATAATGATGATCATTTTATGTATCTATATGAATGGGGCTGCCTTGATATTTAGTTAAAATTAATAACCATTTGATGTTACCATTTGATGACTTTGTCAAATAGTAATACGTTTCTTGGTGAATAGAATAATACCACCAGTCACTAAGAGTTCTGAATTTGGAGTCAGAGAACGTAGGTTCAAACCTAGATTTCAATTCTTTGACTTACATAAATCATGTAAGTCTTCCTGATCAACGTGTTGAGCTTATAGCAGGAGACTTTGTTGGGACGCATCTCCTCTGGATAGGTTGGAAATTCAACTTGGTACCTTGTTTAGAGGACATAGATAACTCTGGATTGTTTTTCAGTGAAAGGGTCCCAGCTATTTATGTCCCAGTTATTATTGTCCTCTTCAGCTAGCAAAGCTTACACTCAGGAAATTTAGTCTCTGACCTATAGTCAGAAAGCTATGGGTGAACATAAACTCCCACATTTTCCTGTCCTGAGGCAACCATTAATAGTTTCTTGGCGAAAAACCATGCTCAGATGAGAGAGAGGTAGATTATAAACCTTATAGGCATAAGGGATTGCCTAAGTAAAGACTTGGAGGTGGGAGATGGAATGTCACATAGAGGGAGGGGCAAATTAGCCAGTTGGACCGCCATGTCAAATGTGTGATGAGAAGTAGTATGAAATCCGCCTGGAAAAAGGAGGATGTATCCAGATTGTAAAGGGTTTTAAATGAGAAAGTAGAAATTTATAACTTATTCTAGAGGCAATAGAAATCCACTGAAGCTTCTTCAACAAGTCAGCGACATAGACTTAATCTTTATAAATATTGATTTGGCAGCTGTGTGGAAAATGGTTTAGGGAGAGGAGAGGCTGGAAGCAGGGGGACTGGGCCATTGTAATAGTCTAGATGAGAGGTGCACTAGAGTGATGACTAAGTGAAATGAATGGAGAAAAGGGGATAGATGAGGGACAGGTGTCCTGGAGATAGAATGGAAAAGATTTGGGAATTGATTGGATACAGTGGGGGAGTATGATGAGTCAAGCATAATTCTGAAGTTGTATACACTGCATAGGGAAGTCAGGAGAAGGCATAAATTTGATGGTAATGGTGATCGCTCACATTTATATAATACTTTAACATATGCAAAGCATTTTACATACATTATCTAATTTGATTTTTACAACAGTCCTGTGAGGTAGGTGTTATTATCCCCATTTTACAAATGAGGAGATTGAAGTTGAGAGAAGTTAAATGTCTTACTTCAGGTTGTATAGCTATCAGGTGTCTGATGCAGGATTTGAACCTAGGTCTTTTTAAGTTCAAGTTCAGCATTTTATACATTGTCCCACATAGCTGTTTAGGGCTAATGATCCTGAGGTTTTATTGGACATGTGGAATTTGAGATATGTATGGGTCATCTAAATGGAGATGTCTAGCAGGCAACTGGTCATATGGGCCTGGAATTTAGGAGAGATTTGAAGGTTGAATTAGTAGATTTGGGAATCATCTGTATAGAGAAATAATTGAACCCCCAGGAGCTAATTAGAGCCATAAAAGTTTAGAAAGAAAGTATAGAAAGAGAGTATAGAAAGAAGAGGAAAGAGGGCCTAGGACAGGGCTCTGGGTTATGTTTATGTACAGGGGACAGCTTATGGAGGATGATTTAGCTGAAGGTGAGGAATGAGCTAACCAGGAAAAGGTAGCATTACGAAAAACCAGTGAAGGAAGACATTATCTGCATCCAGAAAAAGAACTGATAAATAGAAGTATGCATATAATGGTTTTACATGTATGTATACACACATATACATTTGTGTCTAATGGGAGCCATCTCTAGTGTGGAAAGGGGAAAGGAAGAAAAAAAGGGAAAAAAAGAAAAAAAGAGTTATATCATAACTTCATTATATATTTAAAAGGAATAGCAAATTATACCTAATAGATTTACAGTTTCATGTGCAATCATTTTTTTGCATCCTACTATGTTATGGAAATGCTTGTTTTACTTTTTAAGTTCAGAATAATAAATAAATAAATATATAAGAAAAACCAGTGAAGAGAACCACTAATGATATGATGCAACAAATATTTATTAAGTACCTACTCTAGGCAAGGCACTGTGCTAAGTGCTAGAGGAGATACAAAATTTAGATTAAACATGGTTCCTCCTCTCACAGAGCCCAATCCAGTGGAAGAATAAGATAGGATTAAGGATAACTTTAATATACATGTTAAAAGCATGAGAGTTGAAAAAAATATGTATCATACAAATTCTGAAAAGGAAAGTTGTTACTGATGGGAATATTAGGCAATACTTTGTGGAGAAGGTGGCATTTGAGTTGGCCTCTAAAGGATGGGTAGAAATCCAATGGGCAAAGAGAGGGAAGGCAGTCCAGGTATAGGGGACTATGTGAACAAAATCATGTTGGTGGGAAATTGCTGGTCTTATTTACAGATAGAGAGTAATCCAAATTCACTGAATCATAGATTGCATGTGGTGGTGGGGGAGATTAATATAAAATAAGGCTGGAAAGGTAGAGTGGTGCCACATGTGGAGGGCCTTAAATATGAGGTATATCAGGTAGAGAAGTCTAAATGTTGCTAGGTAGCTCAGGTCAATCAGGGAAGAGTAAAACTTGGTCTCAGCACTCTAGCAGTCAAGTCCATTTTTCTCTACCCCATGCGAAACAACAAAGTTTACAGAATTTGAACATGGAATATTACAGGTTTCAATGAGGTGAAAAGAGTTTTCTTGGTGTTAATGAAGAAGCCCTTGGGAGAAGCAATTAGTACATATTAGATATTGCTTGTCGTGGCTGCATAAATTATAATGTTGATATTGGACTGACCTCTGAAAGGCTCTTTGGATGCGTTTTCAGGAGATCGATATTTTTATCTCACAAGGCATTCAGAAGGAGTGGGGAGAAGTTTAATGAGAATGAACTGAGAGTTGAAAGATCTGCTATGAAAAAAGATATCAAATTTAATAGATAATTGGAAAAAAATTTTAAGGCAGAAAATATTTCTCTAAGAAGTTGACAAAATGTGAACATTGCTGGTATGATGATGAACTGGCTGCAGTCAACTGTTTTTGGGAGCAGTGCAGGTTTGCAAAGGAGAAGAGAAAAGGAAAGTGTATGTGAGAATGAGAAACTTTGGTCAAATACCTTGTAGAATTAGTCTCATTTATATCCCATCCTAGTGCTTTGAATAGTATTTTGGCAAATACCAGTGAAACAAGGACATAACTCTTAGGCCAGAACTTGGGATGGAAGTTCACTGTAGAAAGAAAAGGAGGATTGAAATGGAAAAGAGAACATTCTTGAAAACTTGTAGTTGCAGTGGAAAGAACACTTGGAATTAAACATAGGAAAACTGACTTCTAGTAGTTCTGCCTTCTAACTAGCTGTATGACTTTGGACATATTATTCTTCTTCTCTGGTTTCAGTTTCCCAGTCTGTAAAATGACTGGACTAGATGACCTCTAAGAACCTGTCTAGCTCTCACATTTTAACATTCTATAATTCTGTGATTTAATTTTTTTTTTAATCTGGATCTGTTGGTGAGGATCAGATGAGATGTTATATATAAAGAATTTTGCAAATTTTAAAATTATGTATCAAATCTCAGCTCAACTGCTACTTCCTACAGAAAGCCTTTCCTTTTTTTCTGCTCTTCTCCCCTCAAGTGATTAGTGCCTTATCCCTGGAAATTACTTTGAATTTATGTTATATTTAATTTTCTATATTCATATACATAGTGATTTTCACCAACAAGCCTTGGCAGGCAGGGATTTATTTATTTTTGTCTTTTTATCCCTAGTGTTATCATAGTGCCTGGCACATAATATACATATTAATAAATTATTTTTGAATATACATGTAGGTATATACATATAATGTATATGTACACATGTATACACACACATAGATATGTAATAGGGGTGATAAGGAGAACTTTCTGTACATGGGCTCTGGCCTCTTGCTGAGATTCATGTGATTTGCTGAAATTACACAGCAACTCCTGATTGGTCTCCATGACTGGCAAGTTTGTAGAAGATGATTAGCCACTGAGAGGTAGGAGAATGGACTCTTACAAATTAGGAAGATGTACTCAGTTGGGCTGTAAGGGTTATGGAAATGACTTTACCTGTTCTGTTTTGGACTCTTTCATACACTTACACACATACACATAATGTACATTTATAGGCATACATACATACATATATATATATATAT